AACTGTGATGGAGAGAGATTGCGTAGCCTTACTAACAGGAAGCGTTCTGGTAGATTAACTAGTACCATCACGTAAGGAAAACGAAGCCATTTGCATCCACACGTTCCCGTTTGCAGAAACCTCACAGGACAGTAAAGACATCTTGCATTTTTATGCTCCTTAAAGCAGCAGATTCCTTCTTGCCTTTAAGGGCTGTGGTTGTGGTGTGATTCTTGGCTAACCTGCTTTCGAAATCAAGTTTGCTATAGCAGAGCTTTATTGCAGGCGTTTAAAAAATTGAATAACCATGTGAAATAATGTGGGCTTCAAGGCAGAACATAAATTATAGGGTGGAAGGTAAGAGACACACACAAAAAAAGCCTTTTATCTTTAATTTTCCTGGAGAATTATAGAAAGATTTTCTTATAACAATTTTGCCCTGATTACTGAAGTGGCAAATAAAGCTAGAGTGAATATTTTGCTTTGAAAAGGTGCTCAAGTCCTGACATTTTTGGCTTTCAGAGCCGTAAAGTATTTATATCATTTGCATGACTAATGGCACAGGAAAAACCTATTCGTAAGTTTTACAATCAAGTGCAGGAGGGTTTTGGACTAACCTCAGCGTTAGAAGTGCTAAGGAGAGTATCTTGAGCTGATGCTCTGGAGATGAATTTGGCCTTCAGATCTGCAATATCACTGAGCCTGTGATCTACGTACCGCCCCACATTTCATTGGTTTCACACTCTTGTGCAAGTAACCTCTGGTCTTACGTGTGTAACTGAGTGAAGAGTGTCTGCGTGTGCATGTGTGTTTATTGTTCCTAAGAATTTGGCACAAGTCAGAGATAATTGCCTATACTGAGAGTCTGTACTGCAGAACATAGTGTATCAAAAACTTTTTTTTCTCTTAAATTATTTAAGTGTTTTTTTATACATTATTGAAATCAACAGTAGCCCCCCACATGTTTAGTAAACTGGCATTAAGTTTTGGAAGAGAGAAAAAAGTTAGCTAGTACTTTTCATAGATGAGAAAACAGATAATTTGGGTAAAACCAGGCCTTGGTGGTCAAAAGCCTTTGAATCATGAATATTTGCGTTCTTTAATGTAGTTTTTATATAACCCCTGATTATGGAGCACCTTGTTTATAGGACAGAAAGTTCTAACCAGTCTTGTTGAAACAAATTGCATCGTGCAAAAGGTGGTTAATCAAAGATTCAAGAAGTACGATTTCATCAACTGAAATAGAAATATTTGTTAGTGCATTGTTTGAGTTCTGAAGCCTCTAACCTCTCAGAATGATTCTTTTTTTTAGAATTCCATATTTAATAGCAATTTATGACAACTAAGATTATATACTGGAAACATCTATAAAGATTCTACAGTTCTACATTGTGGATTGCTATGCAGGGAAGAAAAATAAGTTAAATAATACGAAAGGTATGGCAAAACCAAGCGGAAAAGATGACCTAAAATTGGGGTTTTAGTTAGAAGTGTTTGTGTCAGACAGTTAAGGTGTTTTTTTACTGTAAAGATGTTAATAATAACTGATTTGGCTGCCTGGTCCGTGCTTCCACACAGCCCTACGTATTTAGTGACAAAGCATCAAAAATACCCAGAGACGTGGAAACCCTCATGTGCTCTCACTGTTGGTTTTCCATCTGGTGTGACTATAACTCAGCGTGAGTGAATGTGTTTGTTGAGATGTTAACACAAAACCTGAGAACAGGAAGATTCAATTTGTTGGCACATGAAATGATAGTGGCTAAAAGTTGGTGACCTCGTGTCACTGTTTATTTTCTGCCCTGATCAGACTAGCAACTAGATAAGTGAACGTTTTTCTAACATGCCTTAAAAATGTTATGGTTTGATCCAAAGACCCACTTTTTCTTTAGCTATTGTGACAAGGTTTTCTTTTGTTTTTTTGTTTTGTCTTGGTTCACTTTTACACAAAGGCAGCATTTTTAAAAGTTTGTTTCTTTTATGTTGCAACTTTTTTTGGTTCTTTTAAGCTGTGATAGTGATGGTAACCATTGCCTTTTCCTTTTGTTCAACTTAACACAAAACAAGCCAGCATCTGATCAGAAGTATTACATAAAATCTTTCTTGAACTATTGAAAGGTGCTTTGATGATTTTCTCCTTTGGTTTGTAGAAATAGGACTGAACTTTTGACTCGAATCGCTGCAGATGCCATCACTTTTCTGTGGTAAAACTACTGATACTTGCTTTTCTATACAAAGAAATGTTGCCTAAGGATGTCTGCCGTTTGTTTTTCAAGAGTTGTCCAGTGGGAATGGTGTCTATATGTATGAATATGAAAGTGCTGATTTTGCTTGTTGCCCTTGGTTTTTTTGTCTGTTTGTTTCGCTTTTTAGTTTTTTGTTCTTCTCAGTCTTGTACTAGCACTTGGGTAAGCTTTAATTGTCTCCTTAGCCAATCAGATGTTAAAGACTATGGGGGTCTTTTTTTTTTTTAATTAACGTGTCATTGTGCATCTGTCAAATCTTGATCAGGGTTTCAAGAATGACTGCAGTGGGTTTTGGAAACAGACTTATCCTTATTGATTTGGGGTTTCCCAGAGATAAATATAGTTCACAGTTAATTGTTGAGCTCTAATACAACTGACCATTTAAAATTGAACAACAGTTTATTGTTTTGTAACAATGTCAGTTGTTAAACCTTGACATTTCAGTTAAAACATGAATTGTAGTTATAACTCGATGCAAATTCAACAGTTGTATTTGGAGTTAAATTATTTTAACAAATAAATTTATTTAATGAAATTTCCTCTGGATTTTCATTGTTGTTTTGTACATGTTTAAGAGTGAAATGTATTTAATATATATTTTTTAGAAAAACTAAAAAACGAATTGAATACTCTTCTTACAGAAATATTGAAGCTGAATTAAATTGAGAATTCATCATTTAAAAAGCGAGGTTAGTAGATCATTTTCATACTCTAAAAATTAAATTAACATAAGAAAGATTTTTTAAATCAGTAATTACAAATATAAACTTCATAAATAGTATTTTATATTTTTGATGATAGCTGGCTAGTTTGAAATTTCAGTGTTCACACTCACAGAATTGTTCTGAATTCTGAATAATTAACGTTAATTAGCAGTTGCTTTATGGTCCTGCTAGTATCTCTAAAATGTATCAGTGTCCATCTAGTGATGGCTTAGGGCTGTCTTTTTGTTTAGGTCTTGTGGATTTTAAGGTTCCAGAGCTGGTGGTGGTTGTCAGTAGAGCTGTGGGGCCTGCCTGCTCTCCCTGCGGGCCCTGTGCATGTCGACAGATGCTGTTAATTATATACAGCCTTCAGCTGCTCTGATAAGGGGCCCATTCATTCCCTAAGCCAATTTAAACTATGCCTTTTGGTGATGTTGCCTTCAAACTCTGTTGAAATCCCCTGGCAACATTCCACCAGTTTAGAAGCCTTATTGTTTCAGAATATAAGAATAATTTGAATGAATATAACAGAGACACTGTAGACAGAATCTCAAATATTTAAAGGAACATGTGCCTGCCTTTTAGTATAATAAATAAGTATCTGCAGGTTAGCTTCGTAATCTCATTTGAAGCATTTGTGAAATAGTCAGACATGCCAAATTCTAATTTCAATTGGGAGAATTTCTCTGTGGCTGAAAAATAGTATTTGGAAATTCTCCCAAGTTGTACAGTTTATTGATTGTTAGAAGTCCATGAATAAAAGCATAAACAGCTGAAGGAATAACGTGCCACCAGTTGGGAACCTGCCTGACCTCTGGGACCTGTGAAGCAGAGAAAATTGTCACAAACTTTCTAAAAAGGCTGCTGACCTCTTGTTTCTTAAGTATCTGTGGTTCCATGTAACTTTGAATAAAATATAGTGGCACTTCATTTGTTAAATGGATAACTTAAACTGGTTTTACATTTTTCTGTATTAACTTTTTTTTCCTGATTTTTGTTTTCTGTTTTTTCTTTTGAAGTATTAGGTTTTAAAAGATCTGCTGCTCTTCCAGGTAAGGTGATGTGTTATTTGTCTCAATATTGTCTTAGAGCGGTAGTCTCCATGTTACCTTCTAAGGATTCTTCCAAGCTTAGTTAGTGAAGGAAAGGTTAGAACACTACCTGCTGGAAA